TGAATCTGATTTCCAAAGTGGGCATTTGATTCAGTTAGGATACATTGCCTTCAAGTTAACAGAACATCTGGGTAATTTTGGCTTAAATTGTAGGTACACGAATGTTTTCCTTTAACAGAAATTCCAGAAGTAGGGGATACTGCAAAAGGTACTTCAGTGAAACAATGTGGCCTTTTTCATCATTTTGCTTAGTGTGTTGGCTGTTCTACATATTTATTAGACTGTATCGGTGTTTCAAACATCCTGCCCTTACTGGCCAACATTCAAAAGCCTCCAGGAAGGACTGTGGGGAGAGATCTCTCATGTTACTACTTTAATTCATCAAGAGGGAATATTGTTCTTAAAATCCCCCATGTTTTCCCTTCTAAACCAATCACAAGTAAACTGCGATTTAGGCCAAATATGGGTCAATCCCTGTATTTGGGGTGTCACCATCCCTAAATATATTGACACTCTTTGTTAGAACTTATTTGGAGTTCTCTCAGAAGGGAAATGAGGGTAAGTGACAGGCTGTTGGGAGATAATCAAAGGGTTGATGTTTGGTGTATTTTTCACACATACTTTAAGGAATAGTTCTAAAGAGGACCCATATTGCTAGCAGCCTATACATGGTACTGTGCTCTATTGTCAATCATCTTTACCTCTTATTTTTTATTTATTTATTTTTTTGTCTTTTGTCTTTTTCCGTGTCCGGCAACGGATCGCAACCCTCAGTGTTGCCCCCGTACCGGACCGGGGACCAGCAACGGGACTGCAACCCTCGGCGTTGCTCCCGCACCTCGCTCAGCCAGTGAGCGGGAACCGGTCTGTATGTGGGATCCGAACCCTCGGGCGGGAGCGCCGCCGCGCTTCCCAAGCGGTGCACTATCCAGTGCGCCACCGGGCCGGCCCCTTTACCTCTTATTTTAACATCACTTTCCTATCTCTCCCAGGTGTTGGAGGTGAGAAGATAGAGATCCTTCTCTGGAATGATTTTGCTGCAGGTTTTTTGTATGTTTAAACCTGATGACTACACATGGAAACTCATTTTGGAACCTACTATGTTATAGTGCACTTAATGCTTATTATGAATTGATTGTGATAACTGGTGAATTTAGTTGTTGTGCAAAAAGTGAAGAAATAGAAACAAATGTGTACAAATCACTTGTAAAGCATCTTAGGAAAAAAAGTCCTGCTTTTTAGCCATTTTCCTGAGAAGAATGTGTTGGGCATACAGGTATACTTATAAAAAAAGGTTTCTACTGGAAGCCTTACAATCACTAAAACCACAAAATCAGTGTTACTTTTATATTAAATACTGGTTAAGACCTTCAAATAAAACTATTTTGGTGTCTAATTTCCACTGCATCATATTAGCTGTGTGATATTGCAATAATTCACCCAAACTTGTGGGCCTTTATTTTCTTATTTGTACACTTAACAATAGTTGCATCTCCCTCCAATGAATATCATCAGCACTTAATGAGATGATGAATATAAAGCAAAAAATATAGCTCTGCATAGGTCTATAGCGACTCCTACAATACTGTCATGACACTTCAAAAAGTTGATGGAAAATTATGGAATTGAAAGATAACACGAATCGTCCCATGAACTTTTTGAAGTATACCCATGAATGCTACCCATATATTATTATTGTAATAATTGATCAATGTAAGCTAAAAATTTGCACCTTTGAATATGTCTAAAATAGGGATGCTTCTTTTACTTGATTTCTTACAATACTGCTTGCTAATTAGCAGTTGATATCACTGTCATTTATGCATCAGTAAATTGAGTTGTTATTTCTAGTGTTATGATTGAATGTCTACAACTGCTAGAGGTTTCAGTCAGCAAACCATTTAAAGATCATCTGAGAAAGGAATATGGGTCTTGATTGATATTATCTGAAAAGCTTACATTGATGCTTCCTGGTAAAATGCAGAAAATGTCAGTATCTACAATTTCAGAATAAAGGTCAAGAGAGTGCAAGAAATATGTTGAGACAATGGTGAAGCACCTTCTTGATGGAATGAAGGACCATATTCTGTGAAGAAAACACAGACATGAATATTCTGATTTAAAAAAAAAGTGATTTAGTATAGTTGAACTCTGAATGCAAAGAAGATTTAGGAATACCTTAACCAATGTGTTTTCTTCTACCTTCCTTTGTACGTTCACGTGAATTATATATGACATCACTAAATACATGTAAACAGCCATTTCAATAAATATATGATTTTTTTGTGATGAAATTTCTAAGTTAAAGTCTTTTTCAATGATTTATTTATTTTAAAAATATACATAAAATAACTATTAAATTACTGAATACCAAGGATGGTTACAATCCCTGGATACAACAGAATAAGATGGAGAATGGAAAAATTCATGCCCTCATGGAGTTTATGTAATAATATGTAACACAGACAACAGACAAATAAATGTGCAATATATTAATTAGAAGTTATAAATCTAATGAAAAAAAAAAGCAGGTCATGTGGATAGAGACTGATGAAAACAGATTTTCAAAAAGGTAGTCTGGAAAGGCCCCTCTGAGGAGATGGTATTTATATCAAGAACTTACATGAAGATGTATCCTGAGATGAATGTCAAAGTTCACATTAATGAGACTTTTTGAGCTCAGGAATCCTTTCTGAATTATTTTCTAGTTGACTATTAAGTGCATGAATTTAATATCATTTATACTACATTTTTATAAATGAACTCATCTTTTATAACTGTTGATTGCTAGACTAAAAAGTCAATGATGAAAATCCAACTGAAGTTATTCTACTATATTAATGGCATAGTTTCGAAAGAGTAAGACAGTTGAAATTCCCATTTTTTCATTTGGTATTATTGCTGATCTACATGTCTAATATTTTACATTAATTGAGAATTGGGCTAAAGTTATCCATAATATAATGTATGAATTATGGTGTATTTCTAGATATGACATTTCCTTTTTAAGGAGAACTTAATGCTGATAAGTATTTATTTTTGTTTATTAGTGTACGTGTGCACTAAATTATTAAATATCAGAAGCTATTACCAACTATTAGAAGTATGTGTATTATTAGCAATAACAAAGTATGTTATAAAAGTAAATACTTGTCATAAAATTTTCATTTGTGTTCTTTACTATAGCATTTTAATAATTTATACTAATGTATTATATAACTTATTTTAATGTGCTCAAAAACTTTATTGATCAAATGCAGTAACATTGTCATTGAACATTTAAAAAAAGGTGAGACACAGAAAAAAATAAGTGTTTCAATACTGAGTATACAATTTGCATGCTGTCATGGTAACCCAGAGCATCAGAGATATGGGAGTATAATAAAGATTGGCAGACACAGCTTAGTACATAAGTTTCGGAAATTTGGATTCATGTATTGATATTTTATGCATTCAAATAAAACCTAATTCATGTTTTATCATCTAATGAGTAATATAGATGACTGGTAATGAACCAAATATGTTATTGCAAAAAATATAATTTTGAAATATGACATCAAAGTGAATATTATGCGAGGACGGTGAATGTAGATTTCCTTGTCATCACACATTAGATAAGCATTCTAAAAATTCTGACAGTACAACGATTTTAAAAGAGAACAACTTATGTTCAGCTCTTCAAATCATCTTTAGATGGGAATGCTATGTTACCGTGCAATTTTCAGCTAAGTGGCCATTTCTTCCTCTCTTTGTAGTTGTCAATCAGGCATATATTTGAAACGTTAATCTAAACTGTGCATTGTAAGAGTTCTTCAAATGAACAGCTGATTTGAACTAAAACAAACAGATGAACAAAAACAATAATCATCAATCCTATTTTAAAAGAAAATCAATACAAAACATATGGAGTTACTTAATTTTAAAGATATCATTAAAAATAATTTTTTGGCTTCAAGAGCTAGATAACGGTTTGGTTTGTAATTGCTTATTTGCCCTTGGTTAAGCTTTTCAATCTGTGCATCTTGGTCAACCTTATGGTTATAATGGATAAAAAAAAAAAAAAAAAAAAAAAAAACCCTCTCTCCCACGATCATGAGTTTGTGCTTCCATTATCTGAAAAGTAGTATTTTGTTAATATTTTCTAAACAAAACAAACTGAATGTCAAGTAAATGCAAGGTATTCTTTTTATATACTATTTTTCTGTCTCATAAGAACTGTTCTCTTGGATAGCTAAGTTCTTTTTAAAACTACATAATGCTAGTATTATTGAAAATCTTACCATCGATTCTAGATATATAACATTTTAGATAAATCTGTCTTGTACATGTTTTGGGGGGCAGGAAAATAGTCATATCTCTTCTTCAAGATCTTGAGGGCTATTGTAATTGCCAGGATAAAAAAAGGCAGAACTTATGAATGTATCAGTGATTTGCTATAAGGCAATCTGTTTTGATGGAATATTTGGAATATTGTGGCTGAATGTATCACATTGTTATATGAATTAAATTTTATTGAGTTTTATTACCCAACTCCCACATTCACAATCAAATGACAGAGGGAATATTAAATCAGCGGTTATGGATATAACTCATAATATGTCATTGTTGAAATTTTCAAAAACAAGTGGTTCTGATCCTCATTGCAACTAACCCTTGGTAAATGTTCTATCCTTGACCACAACCTAGAAAAAAAAATTACCAAATTGTGAGAGAAGTCACTAGTATTTACTAAAACTGGCTTTGCAATTTGAATCCTACACAGCAGTGTTTGTAGTTTGATGCCAGTTTATTAGTGTTAAGTTCTTAGGTAATGTCCCAGAATTTAAATTTCCTCATGTCCAAAATGGCTCACTTTTTTGACTTTAACCATAAATTGTGTTGATGGATCTCTCATCTATATCTTCAGATTAGAGAAACCTTGCATCCTTCTTAATCTTATATCATTAAAACAGATAGCAAGGTAAGCTTTTAGGTTTACAATGTTCTTTGTAACTCATGGGTTATTATTGTGATAGGTTATTTTTATTTTTATTTATTTATTTATTTATTTATTTTTAGCATTTTGTACACAAATGTTTATTTCTCAATTAAACATTCCCTTTAAACACAAGGAATGAATTCTAAATCTTCATAAAGATGAATTAAAAATGAAATCCCTCCAGTATAGCGTGTATAATCACTGTTCTTGGTCACTACTGGCGTTTACTTTTTAACATCAAAAACAAAGACAGGTTATTTAAAAATCATGCTATTGGATTTCTATCTCTTCCTCTATGACCAGTTCTATACTGATCTGCAATGTTTAAAAGTTTACATCACCAAATCGAAGCAAGTTTAAAGTGTGAAACAGCTGTGCATTAAACACAAAATAAACAATAAAATTATAAGATATAGTCAAGTTCATAATGAATATAGGTGTTCTTATCATCATTGTAGATTCTTGGGTAATGTGCTTTGAGAGCATCCTGTGAACCAATGTAAATGGAGTTGTAAATTTTCCAATACACGTCTCTGACTTTCCGGGCTGGGTGAAACAGACCCTGCAAACAATACTGCAACATTCTACATGGTCCAATAGCAACTCTCAGGCCCTCTAGAGCTCCCATAACTGCCTGAATTACATGGGGAGATGTCTCAAATACATTGGGCCATACATAGTTCAACAAGTGATTCAGCGAATCTTCACAACCAAATCCATAAACACCAAGTGACATGTGTTGTACCACTGCACTAGCCGTCTGTCTGTGTACAAGGTCCCTATCCATTAAAGCATCTTCAAGTAATGGTGTTACAGCATAAATGTAGTCCTTTCCCATTTCACCAATATACTCAAACAAGAAGGAAAGTGATTTTAACACTCCATTTTGAACATTCAGTTCAGGAACTCTGTATTCATTCATTAAGGCAGGGAGTACCGTAAAGGGTGAACACGTTTCAGCAACAATAGCTATTGCTACAGTGGTACAAACTCTGTTCTGCCTTTCCTGAACTTTGAGGTTGTTTAATAGTGTAGCCAATACATCATGAGGGCCAATGGCCTTTGCAATATAACCAAATGTGTTGACGGTGGCTCTAAGAATGGCTTTTTTATGAGCTTTTAAGAGCTCTAAAAGTTCAAAGCAAATCCTCATCCATTCTCTTGCAGATACATATTCAGCTCCGGTTTTGGGAGACAAGACTTTTGTGACATCCCCTGACTTAACTACAATCTTGAAGTGCTTAAAAAAAAAAAAAAAAGTAAAAATCACCTAACCCCTAAATATGATTCTATGTTTTACTTTCAAAAATCCAAAGAAAGTTAAAAAAAAACAAAATTCTTACGTGACCAGCAAATTCCATACCTATTACATTTACAATGGCCTTCAGTGCTCCAAGAATGCTGCCCAATACTTCAGGGTACTCTTCACCCAAATACTCATACAACACAACACCCAAATGCCCCATCAATTTTTCCTACAAAAAAAAAAAAAAAAAAAAAAGTTAAGACATTACTATTTACATAACTATTTGGTGAAGAAATAAGAATCTGATACAAAAGCTTACCTCTTGACAAGTCTTCATGACAACAGCAGTTCGAGAAATCAAGTCAGCTGCCTGTTGCCTAACTTTTGCTGATTTGTTATTTAAACGCCACAAAACTGTACCACAGATCTGAGGCAAGTATGGTTTGACTCGTTTGCCAAGAGCATTAACCACCGTGCCAAAGCCATTCAACATTACTGAGTCCTCTGTAGTTTGTTCTTTGAAAGCATAGAGAATACCATCAATTAGTTGTTCTTCAAGTTTATGATCAATATCTGCTGCTCCCAAGTTGCCCATAATTTTCTCAATTGTCTCCATCACCATTTAGATAGGTTATTTTTAGAAGGTAAGGAAGTTTGTGTCAGCTGAATTAACTCTAATTTAGAGAACGTGTTATTGTTAAACCTTTGAAATAATAGCAAAATCTTAATTTTTATGCTTGAGAGCTTGAACTGAATACATACATAAAAATAAATAAGTTTAAACTAGAAGTTAATGTAGAGAGAAGTGAAGAAAATGATCACTTATAAGTCCTAATTTTGATAATGACTTTGATAATGAAAATAATATAAAAAATGATACAAAGTGCTAGAGGCACATAACAATGTATTTTGTCTTATTAAGTATTCCCAATAATCCTATGAGATAGGTACTTTTTTTTTTTTTTACCCTATTTTACAATCAAAGAAATAGGCATAAATTAGTTAAGTTACCTGCCCAAGGTCATGCTACTTATAAATGACAAGCATAGTAATAGAAAAAAGGCAGCCATGGATTTTTAATACTATGTTGATACTTCCTTCTAGTGGATCTCAGTCTTCTTTTGGCCTCCAAACATCATAACTCTGTACTCTTCCTTTTTAGTCTACTTTATACATTGCTTTTATCCCTCCACCTTTTGAATGATCATGAACCACAGCATTCAGTTCTCAGATTTTATTATATTTTCATCTTGTACCTAGTTTACTTGTTAAATCTTAGACATAGTAATATTCTTCAAAGGAGACCAGACTTTTGTAGATTAAGATATTTCTACCACATATTATTCCATAACTGTTGGAGAAGACTTCTTGCCCATAGGGCCAAATCTTAAATGAGTTTGAGCCCTGAATTCACCACATAAGCTAATAAATTGAGTGGAATCAAAATAAGTGTTATCATACATAATATCACCTTAAATTATGCTGTACTTATTTTTGTGTATTCAATTGTGTATAGCGATATGCACACAGATATAACTCGTGCATAAATACAAAGTATAAATCATGAGTGCATATGAAAAATTTTATTTTCTTGTATTAAGTTGTAATAATTTGAGAAAGAGAAGGAAAAATAAAGAACTAAATCACAGAAATGCTGTGCATAGTTGACTTCGAATAGGCCAAACTATGGAAAGCATGTGGGGTCTCTGTCCCCCCTCCCCTCGCCCGACCTTGCCAATGAGTACCTGAAATCCCCACATAGTTGTTCCTTTTTGCCCAAGACAGAGAAAACTCTTTATAAAGGATTCTTTTTCAGACTTTAACTATTTCATCGTTCCACAGAAGCCATCATGATTGGTAAGCTGGTGTTGAAAGTCAGAGAGTGAAGGGTACAGTTTGATATAGGAATTGAAGAGTAGTCAAAGAAAACTCAGTATGGGGTCTCCTGGGCAACTAGGTGACTGTAAATGCAAAATGAATTCCTGAGATAAGAAAAATGGAAACACCAAAGGATTAGTGGATCGTAGAATAACGGCACTGAAGGCAGACTACCCCTAAATTTTCATATTGTTGGGCCTAAGCATATTTGGAAGCATACAATAGAGTTCTGCTCTGTTTGCTGTTGAGTATAATCTGATATAAATCAAACCCTTCTCTAGCTTCATCCAAGAAAATTTACAAAGGCCTGGTATACAAGTTCTTCCCTTTAATGTAACATGTTTGTAAATATCCTGGGAATATTGCTAATGGCAAGCTGCCTTCCAAGACAGAGAAAACTCCTTCTATGAGGAACATTCATTTTACAAAAAGCATAAAACAATACAAATTCACCTTAGAATGTTTCATCTTCAACAAACAGAAGTACAGAACCCTTAACGGAGTTTTTCCTTTATGCTTTCCTTTGGTGAATGTGGTTAAATTGTGATATTGCATCTCTCTCTAAGAACCAAAAGGATAAGAATTTTCTTTTTTTTTATTTACCAACACCTGTCATCCACCTCTCCCCACCAACACACACACTCCAATTTCTCCTTCACGAGACAGTTGGGAAAAGTAGATATTATTAAAAAGTGGTTATTATTATCTAGATATAATAGATCATGGAGTAATACTCATATTTCCAAAAAATAAAAAGAGACAAATAATACCTTAGTCTTCCAAATATGAATATGTGTAATGCAGTCTTTCTTAGATGCATAATTTGTTTTCAAAATAGGATACCACTAGGATATATTCCATATGAAAAAGAGAAATTTTATATGTAAATTTATATACACACACACACACATGTATGTGTATATATGTATACATTATGGATTTTTTGGATGTTTTTGTGTATTTGTATGTGAATGTGAAAATAGTAAATGTATATATGTGATATGTATTTAGTGATGTTCCAGAAGGTAGACAATTGCCTACATTTTTGAGACACAATGTCAGTGCAAAATACACCACTAAACATTTTTCAAGGATGCTAATCCAAGAATATTGTTCCCAAATACAGAGAGAGAAGGTTAATTATTAGCTTACCTTCACATTTCATGTTATAGAGGAGGTTGCACGGTGTTAGATATGCATGCAATATGGTCCACTGTGAGAAACCACAGATGAATGGGTCCTACTTTCATTAAAAAAAATATTCCCAGCTCAGTGGCAAACTCTTCAGATTATGGTGCAGTCATAATAATTGTCATCCAGTAGCACATATTGTGAACTCCTTCATCATCGTATCTTGCTAATTGCGGAACAATTAGTTAAAGTTTTGTGATTTACATAAACAAAGTTTGTGATCTCTATGGCTTCATATACCACACATACAGTCACACAGCACCCATATTAAATATAGATAGGAAATGCTAAGTGAAAAAAAAATAATTTGGATAATTATGGAAACAGTATAAAACAGACATCGAGTAGCTTTTCATATAGGGACACTTCAGCAAAGAATCCAGAAGAGACTTAAAAGATTGGGAAAAATTGGTAAAGTGAGGTGGAATCATAGCTATATCTAAAAAGAGGGAGGGAGATTGATTTTGAAATGGATCACACATGTACTTTCGTTATATGATTTAGAGGATTTTCAGTATTGCTTCTTCCATGGCTTAATGAAATTACGAAACAACAACAAAAACATCACCAGTAATCAGCTCTTTCTTTTAATCCACTGAAGAACTTCATTGTAATTCAACTATTAGCTCGCACATGACAAATTTTAAGTTGTTATCAGCTAGTACTCAGCAACCTAGACAATCACCCGTAATAACCATGGTGGATTGTATATATTGACCTGATAAATAAGAAACATAGGGAATCACACACCAAAACAGACAGACAGACAGACAAATAAATAAATAAATAAATAAATAATAAAATATGAGGTTCTGGTCAGGATGATGGTCACAGTAGGAATTGAGAAGTGAGGACCAAGAATACTTCATGAAAGAGAAATCTGAAATAATGAAGAGTACTTGGAATAGGATAAAGGAAGTAGAAATGCTTCATATGTAAAATGTTTACTCTCAACTAGTTATGAAGAGATGCTCAGTGTAAACATGTTGAATTAAAAATAAGGCAACCAGGCAAATGGTTTGGGTAAATAATTAAACCAGGAAACCCTGAGCAGACCATAATGTGATGGTGTAATCAGGAAGAAACTAGAATACAGAGAACATTCCATGTACCTAATTGACTCATTTTATTTTTTCAAATTGTTATTAAGTGCATGTTATATGCTATCACCAGTATCGAACACCATGAAAACAAAGGAATAGCAACAAAGGTAAAGACACTCAAGGAAGTCATAATGCTAAGAGCTGTCAAATATTATTTGTAAATTGTCATGGAAATCTACATGAAGGATAAAAGACTCTGGCACAGTTGTGGAGAGGCTTGAAAAGGAGTTAGCCTTTGTGACTGGGACTTGAAAGACAACTAGTAGTTAACTAGATCATGGTGAGGAAAAAAGACTGAAAAAAAGATTTTGAAAGAGTAAGCAAAGAGAATGACACAGTTTATTCACTCATTCACCAATTATTGAAGACCTGATGTGTGTCCAGTATATGAAAGAAGGATGAGAGACAACACAGAAATATAGAAAAGGACATACTTCAGTTTGGATTCTTCCAGAAGCTGACTCTGAGATAAGGCTCCAGGACAAATACTTAATTTGGGGGGAAATAGCAGTATTGGTGACAAAGTGATACTGGGAAAAAAGGGAGCCAATTATGCTTGTTTACTAAGTCAACTATCACAGTGGTTTAAATCTGAGAAATGGTGTAAAACACATTTCAAAATTTTCCTACACAAGGGACAAGGGAACTAAGGTATTTATATGCCTGGGATTTAGGTCTCAAGTTCATAAATGCAAATGCTGTCAGTAAGAAATTGGTCAAAGCAAACTGAAAATTTTAAAGGCTCTGGGTGAGTTACTAATAATTCGCAACATCTGCTACTAATTATAAAGTGGTAAGTGTGCAAAAAATCCTTAAAATTACATATGATGTTTAATTACAATAACTAAAACTGGAAGAGATCACAAAAAATACAGATTTTTTTTTTGTGGTGATGATTTGTCAGAAGTTGGTAAGTCATACTAGATTTAACTCTAAGAAACAGAAGGAAGTCAACATAGTCAAGGATTTATGTCAGAAAGTCAGCAAAATTATCCTACAGAGACAGAAATACAAGTTTCCAGACCCCAAAATGTTCACAAGGTATATATAGCTTTGAGTGAATGCTGAGTGAGCAATTGTCACATCAAACTATTGAAAACTTAAATTTTATTGAACTACAATTGAATATACATATTTTGGGGATTCAATGTTGACATATGTGGATCAAATCAATATTACTAGTATGTATATTGTTACAAATTGTACGTATTTTTTATGCCCCTTGTCCAATCTCTCCTCCTTCCCCTCTCCCTACCCTCTCCCACCACTGATAACCCTAGATTTTGTCTTTCCCTCTGAAAGAGAAATGGTTGCTCTATTGATTTGTTGCCTAGATGATCTGTCCAATTCTGAGAGAGGTGTGTTCAGGTCCCCCAATATTATCATAGAGCAGATGCTTCTTATGTCACTCTGGAATGGACTTTGTGGAGAAAGACATTCTCTTCCTTTC